GTGTGTGTGCGCGTGTGGATGTGTGTGTGAGGGCAAGTAGCACTTGTTTGTGGGTTCAGAATTAGCGTAACATTGAGGCTAATATCTGTTAGCACGTCTATGGCATTTGGCCTTACACGTTAGCATTAAGCGAGCAATATTTTGTTCAGCGTGACACATTTTGGCAGAACATTTCTGCGTTTCAATGTTAAGTTCTCGTTTGACTTACCCAAACCCGGGCCAAATAATAACACTTTCATGTTGCATTTGAGGACTTCAGGGAAAACAGAAATATCTCAAACTTGAATCCATTTTTCGTAAGAGCTTGGTCCGAATCACATGCCTGCACTCCAAAAACGAATTTCCTCTTTGGATAGTCCACTGGTGTGGCCGCTTTAGAGTGCCTCATTATCAGCCATGAGTGCATGCATGTCACAGAGAGAAAGGTGGACGAACAAGGAGCGGGAAAATGTCTGACGTGACAGCCAGCATCTGAACAGGGGATTCAAACTTGTCTCGTGGTTTTGTCATGGGTGCACGTCTCGACAAGACAGACAAGTAGAGATGTGGAAAAAATAAGTCAGACGTGACGGCCAGTCCGTGGACAAGGGATTCGAGCTGTTTAGAGTGCCTTGTTTTCCGCCATGAGTGCACAAGTCATGGAGAGAAAGGTTGGCAAGCGAGGCGGGTGAGAGTCAGATGTGACAGCAGGCAGGGGTTTTGTGTTGTGGCAGCGCTTTAGAGCGCCTCGCTGTCAGCCAGATTTGAACCCTAAACCTTAAATGTGCTGACCACGACACAACCATGCTGCCCTGATGATTACTGTTTGTCACACAAGTTCCAATTCAACCACGTTCTTGTTTCATAACCATGCATGACCTGTGAAGTACTTGTAATTACTTTTCCTATTAAGACGTGCCAAGTGCGATGTAAATCATCGATCTTTGTCATTCATCATGAAAGTTGGGATTTGTTTTACATTTTAAGACTGCTGGCAGCATACACGAGTCTATTTGAGGTTCTTGTGGTTTGCGACCCGGCCGTCCTTCGGCGTGAGGATAACGAGCTGGCAAAAAGTGTCAACGGAGTGTTTATGACCTGCGCAGAACAGCACTGGCCCACTGTTGACTCTGCCAGCAGCACGCTCTCTCACCTCCAACACTATTAAAAGACACTCGGGGAGAGATAACGGCACCCCCCTTGCCCCCCGCCCCCACGCACTACCCCACAACGTACATCACTGTCATGGGCTAACTAACCCTCGGCATAGTCCCGCTTATAGCTGCAAACTTTCTCTTGTGTCCCGCTACTTTTACTTATGAGCTGTGTTCAAAGTGGGCATCATATTTTTTCACTTTGACTCAACGCAGGTGAAGACATAAAGCCGTAGTGTGAAAATGTCACACTTTTACGGCGTGCACTCAACAAATCCCTCAACACAGAGGCTGTATGTGTATATATCATTATACAGACACAAGGGGGTGGGTGTGTGTGTGTGAGTCTGTGCGCTAGCGCCTCTCTCCATCTGCTTTCTGCATCACTGCGGCGGGATCCTACTATCCATCGCGAGCTCCCTGAGAATTCCATCAGTGTATGTGTGTGTAACGTCTCACTCGTTCACACTTGATCACAAGGGAGCATGATTGTCTTTGGAAAACGACAAGGTGTAACATTGATCGATGTAGAGTGCCGCCGGCACATATGAAGGATACCAAGCGGGTTAATAATGCAGGCGGGTCATTGAGTAACAGAAGCGTGTACTATACTTTGCACTGCACGTACGGTGTGACAAAATCCAATGGGTTGACTACATCCTTGTGAGATAAGCTCAACATGAGTATGACCCTCAAACTGCCAAAGAGGACGATTTGTGTAAAACCACATTCAGGTGAGTGGATGAGTAAAAGTCAGCGGAAGCAACTTGATGCAACTGTGTGTGTGTGTGTGTGTGTGTGTGCGCGCGTGTGGATGTGTGTGTGAGGGCAAGTAGCACTTGTTTGTGGGTTCAGAATTAGCGTAACATTTAGGCTAATATCTGTTAGCACGTCTATGGCATTTGGCCTTACACGTTAGCATGAAGCGAGCAATATTTTGTTCAGCGTGACACATTTTGGCAGAACATTTCTGCGTTTCAATGTTAAGTTCTCGTTTGACTTACCCAAACCCGGGCCAGCGGCGTCCACCATTTTGCCCCCCGCCACATTAGAAGGCAGCCTGTGGTCCTTAGCGGCCGGCCTGGCCTCCCCCGCTCCTCGCTCCCGGTCTTGGACCTTGGCGTCCCAGCCCGGAGGCTCCTCTCTGGTCTCGGGGTGATGCTTGAGAGGAGAAACCCGCTTCACGGGACGGAATTTACTGTGCGCCTCAGTCGCCCCCGCGGGTTTGATTCCCACCATTCCCACGTGGGACGCCACGCCGCGACTCCAGTTGATGGGCGGCGCTGCGGGAAAGCGCCAGGATGCCAAGAAACGAGGAGCAGATGAAGAGAACAGGAGTAAGCGAATGGAGAGGAATCGAGAAGGGGTAGCAATAGATGAGAGGCACGCTGAGTTTATATCCAGTTCACGTTAGCTTAGCCTTAGACGCTTAGCGAAGACGCTCAACAATGTTACCGGCTCTCTCCTCCGCCTGAGCGTCGTTCCTTCTGGACAATTCCGGAATGTTCTTCAGAGATGAGACGGAATACTGAAAGAACACAACAAGGTGATCAAATCTTGAGCCCAACCGGACGATTTCATCGGCTGATTATTGCAAAATACCCAAATGTTGTCTGGAATGAGTATCTTTATTGTTGGGGAGGACGAAAAGATAAGTTATTTGATTGAATAAATCCCTTTCAAATTATTCAGCCAATTAATTGGTTGTGGGAATTTTACTCTACCCGATATTGGAATCGGCCTCCCAAAATCCAGATCGGTCAGGCCCAAATAACAAGACCACAAAAACCAGGACAAGGCTTGGCAAGTGTGCGCGCGTGTTACTGACCACGGCGTCGTCCGAGAAGTCGATCTCATCCAAGTCCAAATATTCAGGAACCTCCATCTTCACACCTCATCACCTCCACCCTGCACACAACATCTTCCGAATTCGTCACGAAAACACAACAAAGGGGGAAAAAAATTGGCATTATCGGTTTACTGTGGTTTGAAAAAGTCAAGGTTTCAATACTGCTAATAGCGGTTGTCACTCGTAAGAGCTGCTCTTTGCATTTTTTTAGGGGACTTCGAAGCAGGCCACAAACTAAGACCAGCCGCCTCATTACAGTTAATTGCCCCTAATGAGCTTTTTTTTTTTAACCTCTCACTCTCATTCTCAGCGAGCAGAGAGGGCAGGGGCGAGTAGTTACGCAGAGTGGTTTTTGCCCATGGTGATCATACCGTCAGAAGCTCATTTCGACCCACGCCTGATTTCTCTAGCGCTTTCACAACAGCGACAGCTGTAGCAAAGCGCTTTACAAAACCGTTAACATCAACAAAGTCATGAGCATCTCCACCTCCTGAATGCTAATCACTATTAGCAAGCACATTCCCCACCTAATCACTTGCGAGTCCCCATGACCATCATCACAAGCTAATCACTCGCAACATCGTGCTAATCCCCCGGCTAGCAGGCAAAAGTCAAAGTGATGTTGCGGTCAGGTTCTTCGTGCTTTAGGTCCTGCAATGGGCCCAAGCAAGCAACACTCGACTGAATTGTATTTATAGAGCACTTTAAAACAATCACCCGCTGTATACAAAGTGCTGTACACAAACAGCAAAGTCAACAAATCAAATTTGGAATTATAGCTCTCAAACGAAACAGGCATCTATATCCTCTATTTTGCGCACCATTAAAAGCTCGACAAATATAGAAAGAAAACTTTTAGGGTTTTTTCAGTTAGTCCTTGAAGGCAACACTTGGCTTGACGTGCTGCCTTCGTGGACAGTCCGAAAACATCAGACTTCATACAGGACAGACAGAAATCTTAAATGTAACGATTAAAAACAATTTTATTTTCCAACACGTACATAATTATCAGAATTCGAGATTAGGAGATACACAGGGTGCAACACATTGAGAGAAAATTGTCTTTAGGAGATTGAACTTAAATGACAATGCTATTTTTAATACGTAATTTCATTACTTTGACCTTCGTGGCGTATTTAACGTGATTATTAAAAAGCGAGTTTGTTGTGCTCTTTTAATCGGCTTAATCGAGGTTAATTTGCAAAGCAAGCAGGCTAATTAGCATCCAGTGACGCTAACCGATGACCCCCCTCAGCTAGCCTGCTAACTAACAAGCTAGCCGGACAGCTGGAAAAGAGGCGACAGGAGAAAGTGGAGGCGGGGGGGAAAAAAGTAAGGCTTTATAAACGTGCGCAGATGCTAAAGTGTACACATTACCTGGTCGGATGGGCGTGTTGAAAGCAGATAAGCTGACGGGACGCTTCAAATGCAAATGTTGTGTTTTTCCCCCTTTTTCTCTCCCCCCCCCCCCTTTTTTTTTTCTTCCAGCAAAAGCTGGTCGATGCGAGCAGCACAAAGACTTTGACATCTGTCCTCCTCGAGAGACGTGGAAGCGAGAGATCACTCTTCAGTTTTTACCCCCGTCGTTTACGTTCACTTGCCAAGCGCCGCTTTACGTGTTCAAGTTGATGATATTCATCTGTTTTCACTGTAAAGCGTGTTTAGACGGTGTCAAAAGGCGAATTGGCTGCCGCTTTGCACGAGAACGTGACTGGCCGTTGTTTTGTTGTGGTTGTTGGCTACAAAACAGTAATGGTAAAATAATACAAAATGTAAAATGCTGTTTTTGTATCAATTTACGTTTAAAACTAATCTCACAATAATCGAATAAAGTACTTTAGATCGATTTTTTGAATTATTTTAACTAGTTTTAGAGCTACATTGTAGCGTTCACAGATTTGTCCGAGAAGCGCCTCGCTTTCGAAGAGACGATCTTTGAGGTGGGATTCCGTTAGACGGGTTTATTCCCTTTAGAAAGAAAAAAAAACTGTTCCGGTTAGCATATGGAAAATCGTGACTCGTTTATTTCAGTAGTGTATAGTTGTGTCGTTCAATGCAAGCAATAGTTTAATGTGAGTGATTTGAATTGAACGTGTTTGATGCGACGTACCAGTTGGACTCGTGTCCTGCTGTAAAATTGCGTGATTATAATTATACTTCTAGTTTTATGCAAGTATAATCAAGTTTCTGAAACTATAATTAAACTACATAATGACAGCCTGTCTGCGGCAAAGGCTCTGTGCGCTTATTTCACACAAATACGCAGCAGCAGCGCCCCCTAGGAGTCCATGTGGAAAACAACACTGCCACGAGGCGAGCAAAATCAGACGGCGTTGGTGACGTCATCACAACCAAGGATTCCAGAAGAGTGCCGTGAAGTTTATTTCATGGTGGCATTTAAAATTCGAGTTAAATACACAGTACGCGTTGGCGTTTTTCATATGAAATGTGCAAGTCCACTGTCGATGTTTGAAAAATCATCCAAGGGTTCAATCTCAGCTTCTGAAAGGAAGATTAGCTGCCTTTTACACTTGTATGGCAGCAAATGTTTCAGACGGCAGAAAGGAACGAAACTACGGTGGATTGAAATGCACCGGACAACATCAAAAATGCGTGGATGACGTGTTGCTCCTCCCTCACGCTGTGGTCTTGCACGCCGACATGTGGGCGGCGTTTCCCGTGAAGTGGACATCACAGTGGACCACGTTGTTGGCGAAGTTCGATTCCTGAATTTTCTGTTTGGGATTGACGGTCACCTGACAACCCCACAAAAAAAAAAAAAAAAAACGTCAACACGGTCAACAATCATAGCCAATTACGAATGTAAATAGCACAAGCTAAAGTGACACCGATTTGGTGCTATTGTTTTGATGGTTTTCTGTTCAGAGTGATTGACTTCCTTTTATGTAAATGGTTTGATAGGTGTGATGTCTGAATAAATAACAGTTTGTCTTGAAAGTACTCTACAAATAAAAGTGACTCGAGTTCACGTCTGCATTTTTATAAACATTCAAAAGCAAAACCAGATGAAATGGCGCCGGCGTGAGAAGGACTGGCGACCTGAAGTTTGTATTTCCCCGGAGCCACGTCGGTGATGTCGATCCACTGACAGTCGATGTCGGCGTTGTACGTGTCGTAGCAGCCCGGACTCAAACCCTGAAGGGATGAACGGCGGGGGGCAGGTCAGGCTCCACGCTGAGCAAAAGGAGGGGGAGCAGGAGGGCCGGTAGATGAGGTGTTGACCTGCGCGTGCGAGGTGCAGGCGTATCTGCGGTAGTAGCCCGCCTCGCAGGACGTGTCCTCCAGACAGAAGCTGACCTTGTGGCCTTCCGCCACCGCCTCGTTGCTCTCGGCGTCCAGCAGCTCGTACTGACTGAAATCGTCCATGCTGTGAAAGTGACTGACGCGCCGGTCGCAACGTTAATGAAACGCCACAGACCAGATCGGAAGAGGCTACGTACGCTGGACGAGAGGAATGCCCGAGAAGACTCGGCCGACACCCACTCCTTGACCCCCCCTGCACCCCCCCCAAGGGAGTTCTTACTTGTGACAGCTGTGCCACTCCCAGGAGTACGGAGCTTTGCTGGGCAGGAAGTCGGCGGTTCCCTGGTTCTTCACGCGCTGAGGGAACCTCAGCAGAACTCTCACGTCGTAATCTCCAGCGGACCTCGCGGAACTCAACACCAACAAGACAAGCTCACCGTCAGCTCTTGGACCGAAGTCGGTTTGGACCGCAGTGAGGTGTGTTCAAAGTAGATTCAAACCGGATTCAAGTCATTTACATGGGGTTGATTTGGATTCAGACTGGATTTGTACCTGAAGAAACTGATTTTTAAATGAATCCAAGTCGATTTACACCAGGTGAAACTGATTTAGAATAGCGACAAATTAGATGTTGCTCGACAGTATTTCACATCATTGAAGTACCGCTAGATTTAGATTTAAAGTAGGTTGAAGGTTTCTTTCTTACCAGTGAATTTAAAATAGTTTGAAACTGGATTCAAGCAAAGTCAAACTAGATTCAATTGATTTCGATTGGATGGCAGTTGACTGAGGCCGAATGAAACCCGTTCAGACCGAATTCGTGTCAATCAGGCCGGAAGTAACCACATTTGGACTGGAGTGAAGGAGATTTGAACTCCAGTAGATTTAGTGGGTTTGAAGTGGTGTGAAAGTAGTTTGAAACTGGATTCTGCAAGTGCTTGGTGTGTTGGGTAGTGTGTCTCACGAGGCGAGGCAGTTCTCCTCAGCCGCACAGCGTAAACTGTACATGGGCACTCTGTGGATGTATGAGCCCACTTGGATGTGGTACGCATCGGGAACCAGATCGGGAAGACCTGAGGGTGGTGACATCGTCACAATGACATCATCGTTACATTGTCACATCGTTTTGCTATTCTGGTACAACAAATAGGTGCATTAACTACAATAGTCTCCAAAAAAAAGCCCCCCCCACCCCCCATATTATCACAGTCGCTTTGATCGAGTTGTGATCCAATGAAGCCTTCTTGGTCCGGTCGAACCGGGTTCATTTGGCTTCACTTCAGTTTGCTTCACTTTGTTTCGTCACACTGCGTTCAGGCCAGTTCTGTGGAGTTTGCTTCAGTGTGGTACGGTGCAATTCCCTTTTTTTTTTTCAAGTCAGCCCATTTTAGTTCAGATTGGTTCACTTCAGTTTTGTTGATTTGGGTCCATTGAATTTGGTTCGTTTCCGTATTCGGTTCAACGGAGTTTACTTTTGTTCATTTCGGCATTGAGTTCATATCAGTTCAGTTCTGCTCTGTGCATTTTTGGGGGTCGGGGGGGTGGGGGGGGCGTACGATACAGCTTATTTTACTGAACTGAACGCAACTCAACTGAATGGAACTGAACCAAACGCAAACGAAACCAAACCATACCGACCGACTGATGGAAACGAGACTTCGACATTTCAACATGACTTAAAGCAAGAGCGTTACAGACACTAGGGGGCACATTTGCATGCCACGAAATACAGCAGATATGCACACGTGTGCAGGTTTGTGGCAATACAAGCTGCAGTCTGCCCTCTTGTGGACTGGAGGTCTCTTCGCAGCAAGGATAGTCTTTTTTTTTTTTTTTTTAAACAACCTTTCCAAGTCATAGTGATAAGAAGACATTTCTCACCGTTCTGGTGGTACCTGGTTCCGTAACCGTGCCAGTGTCGGGTCCATGGCCTGGGTCTGTAATAGGAGTTGTAGTAGTTGTAGTACGGGTAGTAGTTGGATGCCTTGTACGGGTTGTATGGGTCATCGCCGGCCATCCTGTCCTCTCCAGAATCTGGTCTCGGTTCTGCCCTCGGCTCTCCTCTCGGTGGAGGACGCTGACGGGTTTTTGCTCGTAACTGTGCGCCGGCATTCGCCGCGGGCATTCGCGGTTCAACTGGGATGGCGGCAGAGGTCTCGTTCGCTCCGGCAAGCGGCGGCACGTCCCTACTGGACGCGGTCCTGCTCCGGGCCGGAGGCTGGAAGCGGGACCCCCGACTCAGGATGCTGAAGACGCGCCCGTTGTGGCGCCAAGTCAACCCCCGCGTCAGCCCCCCTGCCGCCGCCTGTGCCACATGCTGCTTCTGCTGAGCGCCGCTTCCACTTCCTGTCAGTAGAGAACAGCAGAAGAACACAAAGACGCCTACGGGAACGTACTTCATCTTCTACTTGCTTTCCTCCTCTTGTGCCGCAGTGGGCATGAGGTCTGAGGAGCGTGGGAGCGCGCGCGTGCATGTCGTAGGGGAGGAGTTTCCCCAACTTCCATGAAACAAGACGACAAGAAAGTTCACAATAACTGGAGAATAATCATATAAAACGGAGGTGGAAGTAAGTCACATATGCGAGTTTTAAAGCCTCTGTAAAGTGAACACAAATGTTTTTAAATTTGACACACCACCCTGCCAAATTTGAGTGATTAAAAAAGTACGTCAAGTGAGGTCACAAGCAACTGTCAACTACTGATACCAGGAAGACGAGTGCTGCACGATGCTACACAAGCCTACGTTGAATCGCAAAAATATCTCCCAGGCTATCTTTGACTTTGTATGCCGCGACCAGAGTTGCTAGCCACCAGTTAGCTTGCGAGCTAACAGGTTGCTGGGGCTCCTTCTGGCCGCCTTCCTTGTAAATTTAAGTAACGGCTGTTGTGTAAATTGGAAGAGCAATGCTGAAGATGTGCTTTTGACTTTTGGGATGTAGGCATTGCGAGCTCACTAATTGCGAGCTCACTAACTGTTTGTCGTTGTTGAGTTAGCTTGCGAGCTAACAGGTTGCTGGGGCTCCTTCTGGCCGCCTTCCTTGTAAATTTAAGTAACGGCTGTTGTGAGATGTGCTTTAGCAATGCTGAAGATGTGCTTTTGACTTTTGGGATGTAGGCATTGCGAGCTCACTAATTGCGAGCTCACTAACTGTTTGTCGTTGTTGGAGAGCGCCACAGGAGAAGAAGCTGCATATTAGCATGCCTGTTATGCTAATAACAGGCATGTGTTATTCTGTCATCTTGCTTGTACTGTGGGTGACGTGAGTATTTTGTTGAATGATCGCCTCATTTTAGTGGTCAGTTGAAAACAAACTACACATGGGACTGTTCTGGACCAGTATGGAACCAGTATCAAATATTGACTTTTGGGATGTAGGCATTGCGAGCTCACTAACCGTTTGTCGTTGTTAGAGAGCGCCACAGGAGAAGAAGCTGCATATTAGCATGCCTGTTATGCTAATAACAGGCATGTGTTATTCTGTCATTTTGCTTGTACTGCGGGTGACGTGAGTACAAACTACATATGGGACTGTTCTGGACTAGTATGGAACCAGTATCAAATCATTTCCCATTCCCTGGGAACAAAACATCCCAGTGCTGTGATGGCGATGCATCGTTCCTGAAGTGCAAATACTCCCAATTTTTTTTCAGGGCGCTGCAATGCGGCCCTGTGCGGCTGCACATGTTGCACGTGCCACGAGCCGCCACTGATGCAAACTGAAGCTGAAAAGGCAAG